TTAAACTTACTTTAAAAAATAAATGTGCCTTTGATTGAGCATGATGGTAAGCGTTCATATCTTTAGGTATGTTTGTTTAACGAAGTTTGCAAAATGAGGGGAGGGGAGGGGAATGTATTTGTGTGTGTGTGTGTGTGTGTGTTTGTCTGTGTGTGTTTGTGTACGTGTGTGTAGGTGTGTATGTGTGTGTGTGTGTGTGCATGTGTGTGTACATGTGTGTGTGTGTGTGTGCATGTGTGTGTGTGTGCATGTGTATGTGTGGGTGTGTGCGTGCATGTGTGTGTGTGTGTGTGTGTGTGTGTATGTGTGTGTGCGCTTGTGTGTCTGATCATCAGATGGTTTTTCTTCTTTCTTTTTCCCCACACCTCAGATATCAGACTCACCCAGGTAGTCATCAAATTGTTTCCTTTGGGTCATCTCAATGGACGAGAGATCTACATGTGGAGCGAAGCGCGTATACACGGGCATGATTGGTTTGTCGCTGAATGGATCCACCTTCATCTCAGTCGGGCTGAAAAAAAAGACGAACTCAAATAGAATAACATTTTTGCTGCTCTATTTTTGGAAAGAGCTTTATGGCGCTCCTAACTGCTTAATAAGGTCATCAAGCCCACGGGACACATTTTTTTTTTTTTAAGTTTGGTAGGAATTGATTTTGAATTTATCCCGGGTGGCGGCCGAAGCCTGCTCAGTTCGATTTTCGGACTACTAAGGGATCTTTAGCGGGCGCAACTTGTACACTGATTCTTACGTCCTAATGCGAGAAGGCTGAGTGTTAAATCTTACCTACCCTAAGATCGGGGGTATGGCTGAAAGACAGCAGTACCATAAAAATGGCTCCTTGGACAGTATGCTTCCCAGAAAATTGAGATTGTTTCAGAAAGCTATCAGGTCTGCTGTGGTTAATATAATATAGATTGTAACGCACATAGAGCTTGCTGGTGAGTGGGAATATGTGCTATGCAAATGATATTTATTTATTGTATTTTCAAATTATGTGAAAAAATAATCTGGCATTGTTTGAATTTTTCTTGACCTAACATTTTTTGTTGTTGCTTTTTGTAAGTGTTTTACGGCGCTCGCAACTGCATAAGGTCATATCAGCGCGCGGTACACAATAAACATTTTCAGTTGGTAGGAAAATATAAATTTTGCCCTAGTGACAGCCGAAGCCTAATCTTATCGATTTTAGACCACCAAGGGATCTTTAACGTGCACAACTTGCACACTAGACCTCCAAGATTGTTTGCCCTTGTCCGAGAAGGCTATGTGTAGATTTTTCCTACCAGAAGATCAGGGGTGTGGCTGAAATACAGCAGTAAGAAGGAGCCAAGAAATAGCAGTAGAAAGACTGCAGAAAGAGTCCGGAACACCAAGGAGGGGGGCAAAGGGGGTGAGGGGGTGGGAGCAGAAAGCGGAGACGAAAGCAGACGACAGAACCTTGCAAGAGAGCAGGAAAGGAGGTGAAAGGAGACAATTTCAGAGAATAATTTTTTCCCCTCCCTACCCAGATTTAAACCCGGGACCTTTGAATGAGAGGCAAACACCTTAACCTCTTAGCCGCGAATCAAACGTAGACGGAAACGCCTGAGCAATGAAGGGAAGAGATTTTGATAACAAAAACAATCATCCTGATTTATGAATTGTCGCTATACAATCATTTTGATCATTTTTGTTGTCATCGCAATCCTCATCCTCCTCCTCTTGCTCCTCCACCTTCTCTTACAACAACAATAACAACAACAACAACAACAACGACAACACTACTACTACTACTACTACTACTACTACTACTACTACTACTACTACTACTACTAATACTACTACACTGTTATCGTGTTGTCAAAATAAGATTTTCAACGTTTCTTCCTATTTGAGCTCCATCAAGAACATCAAGAAAAAAAGAAGGAAAAAAATAATAATAATCCCCACAAAAAGAACTCCACTATCATAATAACCAACAAACCAACAAACCAACCAACCAACCAACAAACCAACAAACCAACAAACCAACAAACAAACAAACCAACAAACAAACAAACCAACAAACAAACAAACCAACAAACCAACAAACCAACAAAACAAAACAAAACGAAGAATCCAAAGACACGTACGGGTACATGTGATGTTTACAGCAGGAATCGAAATGCGCCTCTGGGCTGACGAAGTTCATCTGGACGTCCACTTCCATTTCCGTCAGGAATGTGCCCCTGTAGTCTGAGTAGCTGTTCTCGTCCGTCAGACCATAGCCCATGACCTGCAGGGCCATTATAAGATCTGCCACCATGTACGAGAGAAGATGGCATGGATGTTATTATTTCTACTATTGCTTTGCTTTGCTTTGCTTTGCTTTACTTTGCCTTGCTTCGCTTTTTTTTTGGCTTTGCTTTTCTTTACTTTGCTTTGCTTTTTTTTTTTTGCTTCACTTTTTTGGCCTTGCTTTTGCTTTGCTGTAATTTACTTCACTTTGCTTCGCTTTTTTTGCCCTACTTTTGCTTTGCTTTACGTTACTTCACTCCACTTTGCTTTGCGTTGCTTTGCCTTGCTGTGCCTTGCTGTGCCTTGCTGTGCCTTGCTTTGACTTGCTTTGCTTAATTTAACTTTGCTTTGCTAAGAATTGCTTTGAATTGATCTGCCTTTTCCGGACTCTGTTACCTTACTATACGAGGACAGAATCAAAAGTCTTTTTCTTGTTTGTTGTGTACCCCATTGCATTATTAGTAATGTTAGACCTACATCGATTTTGTCTTATGTTTCTCTGGCACCCCTCTATCCATTATATTCCTTTTTTTTAAAATATAGTAGAGGGTTTTACGGCGCTCGCAACTGCATAAGGTCATATGAGCGCCACATTATATTCCTGTCATGCCTCTTCCTTAATATCAATCTAATCTCTGGATATATTACGTCTTTGCTCCTATAGCCTACTGTCTGCATTTTGTTACTGAAATTATTATTATTATTATTATTAT